TTTGCTGCATGACATAACTGACTTTCCGTAGTTTCCGAGGCATATTTCCAACTGTGATTCCCTCAGCTATTCCCTCCAAGTCTTTGTTCTTTTTTCCTGGTCTTTTATTGCAAATCACAGTGCAATAATTGGCAAAAGCATCGTATTATTTATTGCCTTTTATGTAGACGAAACTGTGTAAATACATGCACATATAATGTTGGCTTTCCTCTTATGAATATTATAATGGCTTGATCTTACTTTGCTATAATTAGTCAATGTCTTTGTATTAATTGTTGTAGTTCTTGGAAAACACAACAACAATCATTCCATGTGGAAAACACTGTTTGGGGAAATGCTGCCACCTGCTGATGAAGCATTTCCATCTTTTTGTAAACTTACAGGAATGACTGCTTTTGGACGTGTAAAAACACCACTTAACAAAAACAGAATCCACTTATTCATTCACACGAGGGAAAATTATTCTGTATGAACTGACTAACAACTTAATGGAGCAGATCTCAACAGCAAAATACCTGCAGTTTATATGGTATAACGGTACTCGTATTTGTATTTTAACATACAGATTTATACGTGGAACATTTCCTGGGGAAACAGGTGTACATAGGAGAGGAGAGCATGGGGCAAATAGCCAATGATGGCTCAGTATTTCAAAAAGGATCCGGCACAAAGTTCGAGGTGAGTCCTGCGGCGTGAATTGCGTCTGTTATGACCGTGTACCCCACTTTACCTTAACGCCCCTTTGGCAAGGCTGAATGCATTGTGGAGAGTGTAATTGGATTGCCTGGCTCTTCCACGTCTTTTTGGGGTAACACGAAGAGAGGGAAATTAGAGCACAGTGGGTAAACTAAGCTCAGGGTTACAAAGCTCAGTAAAATAAGCCCTACGCCTTCCCTTCGTCCTGCAGCGTGATTCAGCGCGTGACCTGCGGTGCCATGTAACACACCATGCCATGTGACGTGCATTGCAGTGTAATAATGCATCTTCTGTTACAGTGAAATATTCCATGTGATGCACTGTAATTTTGATATCGCATCAAGTCGAGAAATACAAAAAATGCAATGCATCCATAGACAGTCACAAGAAGTAAATATATGTGACTTTAATGTTCTCAAGGAAGAGTTTTGCTCTTTGAACCTCATGTTTAAAAAGTATAAGATTAAAGATGTTTACCCGGTTTAACGCTGAACCCCTGCAGGGAAGACTCCCAATTACAGTTATTTTTTCTTTTCAGTTCTCTTTCTTTCCTCCTTTTTTTCTCCTCGCCCACACTCTCCAGAGCCTCGGCAGCCCGGCGGTCCTTGAAAGGCATCCTCCAGGTGGGATCACATTTGGGTCACTTTCCCACAGTGCGGGTGACGCCTGACCAATGAGAGGAGGCTTGTGGGTACAGCGTCTGTCAGGTGACACACATACGTGGTGCCCATGACCCCTGTGCTTCTTCACTTTAGCTGTAGTGGGTCTGGGATCAGGGCAGTAAATGTTTCCGCAGCAGGTCTATAAGAGGTCACTAAGCTTTATAGGCATATACACTGCTTGTGATGCTTCAAATAAATCCATAGTGTCTTGAGTTCAAAATTATGTGATGTAATGCCTTTTCCACAAGGTTCCATGCTTTGTACTATGCCACTAGTGTGGTTTGTTATTTTATCTGACAAACTATTCAGACTGACAGCAAATGCAATGCCGCCTTGAATAATTAAAGACTTAATGGACAGGAGAATATGCATTTTGTCTAAGTGCTAAGTAGCTCAACAATAACAAATACCCCCCAAAAAAACTCCTTTCCAGTTCATAAGGTTTAACTTAATTAGTCCATCTAATTTCTTCAACCGACTCTGCATCTAAGCATTAACTTTTCTTGTTTGGCTCCAGAAATTAATTTCCCAGAGATTTTCTCAAGTTAATTTGCCCGCATGCTAATTATCTAAAAAATCAATTAAAAACAACAGGACGCTGAACTTTACTGAATGCGGCCGAACCTTTAGTTCACTTAAACCACAGGAGGCCCATAAATTTAGATTTCTATGTGTTGCCCAGTAAAAGCCTTGGGGAGTGGGGG